ACACACACACACACAAGTACACACAGGTGCACCCTACACGCAGGCACACTTACATGCACGTAAGCACATTCACACAAGTACACAGACATACAAACCCTTGCATGTATGTTCATGCACCCAAGTACACACATGCAAACACACACAGGCACACACACATCCACCTAAGCACATTCACTCACGTACACATACAAACAAACCCTTGCATGTACGTACATACACACAAGTACACACACGCACAATACACGAAGGCACACACACGTGCACGTAAGCACATTCACACAAGTACACACACAAACACTTGCATGTATGAACATGCACTCAAGTACACGCCCACGCACACACATAAATGGACGCATATGCACACAAGTATACACACATGCATGCACACAAGTACCCACACGCACATGCACATAAGCACATTCACTCAAATACACACACATACAAACCCTTGCTTGTACGTACATACACACAAGTACACACATGCTCCTAAGCACATGCACCCAAGTACACACACGTGCACACACACACATGCCTGCACACACACAGCTCAGGAACGGGGAACAGAGCTTGATCCCAAAGGCCTAGGCACAGTCCCACTCCGGGTGTCGGAGTGGCAATGCCTGGAATCTTCCAGACGCCAGGCTGTGGGCCAGCCCACCTTGGTGATGAAGTCTTCCTGGGAACACAGCTTGTCAATGTAGCTGAGAAGACCCGGGTCCAGGTAGATGGCGTCCTCGTCCTGCCGTGGCTCCTCTCCGTCCTGTCCCCATTCACCCGCTAGCGCCCCCGGGGCTGAGCAGGCAGGCCCCAGCAGCCCCTCCATGATGTCCACGTACTCTCTCACAGCCTCAGGGGGGATCTCCTTGGGTGCCTTGGGCTGCGGGGGTCTGTGTGGCTGCGGGCAGGGTGGCTGGGCCCTGGAGCCGGCCTTCCTGGGAATGCAGGCTGAGGCAGAGCGGGAAGGAGGGAGGAGGTGAGAGGGGCTCCAGCTTGCTTGTGGAGAGGGCAGGGTTTGGGGGACACTGATGTCGGTGGGGGCTGGGTCAGGGCCACCTGAAGCCACAGGCACCCTGGGACGGGGGAGCTGAGGGGAGGAGCATCTAATAGCGTCTCCTGTGAGCAACAGAGGACCCACCGTTTCTCCAAGGGTCTCCCCCCGCAGCCCGCTTTCCAGGCAGAGTTTTGTTGGGTCCCTTGACAGGGAGGTGGGACTTGCCAGGTCAATATCTCACGGTGACAAAGGGCAGCTACGACCCCAGGCTCTCTGCGGCTGGTTTGGTTGAAAGACCAAGGCCCACGTGAAGGAGGAGACAGGACGTGGGGACAGCGGCCTTCCCTAGGCCCCACTGCCTTCGGCCGCCAGCTCCCTTGGGAATGTGGGTGCTGTACCTGGCTGCCGGCCCCCCTCCAGGGCTGGGGACCCCTGCGTTCCAGGCGTGGGTGGGGCTGGAGCAGATGCGCCCTGGGCCACCTTCACCCACTGCAGCTTCTGAATCTGTATCTCCTCCTCTGCCTCAAACTCCATGAACCTGGGGGTGAGGAGACCCAGGCCACACTGAGGAGGGGCCCGGCCGTGGAGCCCAGCAAAGGCGGAGGCCGTGGGGGACCGGAAGAGGCAGTGCCCGGCAGCGGCAGCCATGGTCCTGGCCCCCCAGGAGGCAGCAGGCTGGCCGATCCGGCCCGGCCCGGCCACAGAGGGGGTCCCACCTCCCCGGGGTCGCAGGTTCAGCCCCCATCCTGAGACCTTCACATGGAGGCAGGGGTGGGTGTCGATCAGGTTGGGGTTGAAGCCTGGGCAGGTAGGTGAGGAGGACCCTGTGCTCAGCCCGGCCTCACGGGTCCCACAGGCCTGGGGCTGGGACCCTGACTCACTTTCCTGCCATCTCGTAGTAGATGACCCGGTCAAAGTTGCTTCGGCACTGCCACTCCTGCACGGCCCGCCACACTCCCTCCTCCAGCGTCATGGTGGGCTTCAGGCGGGCCAGGGACCGAAGCACCGGGCTGCAAGCCCTCGGGGTCAGGCGGCGGCTGCGGCCTGGTGGCCCCACCCTGCCCCACCCCGCCCTGTGCAGCACGTGTCCCCCGCCCAGCGAGACTCAGCGCTGGCAGGTGACAGGCGGCGTCTGGCCGTGCAAACCAGACCCCTCCAGGCGACCACTGTCACTGCCTCACACTGGGCAGCCCCGGGCCCTGGGCTCCAGGCTGACCACCCACCCGCACCTGGATCAGGGAGCTCTTTGCCCCCGGACCCTGCGTTCCATAATGACGATACTGAGCGTGCCGTGCCAGGCAGTGATCCGGTCCCCCGGTCCCCTGCGGGAAGTGCCGTCACCCCGTGTCCAGCGGGGGACCCCAGAGGACCCGCGCCGCACTGCCTTCCCCGAGCGGCACTGGCTCACACCCTCCTCTCCTCACCCTGAGGCCCCCGCCCTGGGCACACCCCAGGGTCCTGGCTGAGGGCGGCGGGGGGCAGAAGGCGCTCACATGAGAAAGCAGGAGAGGGCTTCGGCGTCGGGGCTCTGCGGGAGGTGCCTGCGGGCCAGGACCTTGAAGCACTGCCAGCGCCGGAAGTTCTCGTACACACTCTTGGGGCTACAGGAGTCCGCGGGCGAGGCCTTGGCGGGGCCGCTGGCCAGGCTGCCCTCCCTGGCAGCTGCGGGGGACTGCGGCCCTGCGGTCCCCGGGGGCACCACGGGGGCCAGCCGGACAGCCGGGGGGGGAGCCTGAGGTCGAAGGCCCGGGGTGGAGCCTCCCTTGCCGGCCCAGGTGCCCCCGACGGCTGGGGCGGACACGGGGCTCCCCGCTGCCGACGTTGCCAGGAACAGGGGTGTGGGACACGCAGCACCCCCACAGAGGGCCCCGGGAGGACTCCAGCCAGCGGGGGCCTGGGTGAGGACGACGGTCTGAGTCTGGGGGGCATCTGCGGGCCCCCGCTCTGACCTGACCTGGACGATGACGTTACAGGCCCGGGTCCCACCTGGGCCATGGACGGCATCTCCTGCCACCAGCGGTGTCCTGCAGAAAGTGGGCAGCACCACGGGGCTGCCAGGCGTGAATGGCGGGGTCACGTGGGGCGGCGAGTGCTGCCCCCGGGGTGACCAGTGCGAGGCGCCAGCAGCAGGTGGGGGAAACGGCTGTGCCGTCGAAGAAGACACGGGGGCCTCCGGGTCCATGGCCACATGCGGCCCCAGCACTGGAGATGCTGTGGACAGAAGGGAAGGGCCGGATGGAGTCGGAGAATCGCAGCCAGGATGCAGGATCCTGGGCCCCTTTGCTCACTAGGGAGCGGAGCGGGGAATCGCGACACGGGAGGGACGCTTACGGGAAAAGGTGCGGTTTGCAAGTGTCCTGGAGTGAGTTCCATGCTCTGGCCTCCAGACGACAATTACTGTCCCCGCCCTCCTCAACAAGACAGCCTGCCTGCCTGCCTGCCTGGAAGAGGCAGCCTTGGCCAGCACTGACTCTGGGAACCTCCCCAGGACCCCAGACACCACCCTCCATCCTCACGGGCTGTCCTCCTGGACGAGGGGCTGGGTGGACATCTGCCCTGTGGGAAATGCCCTCGGCCGGCTCCCAGGCGGCTTGGGTTCTGCTCCCAGGTACGTCCGAGTCACCTGAAGGGCCTTTGTGAACGGGCAGCGTCTAAACCATTTGGGCCCCTCTCCTGCTCAGACCCCCAATGCCTGACGCTCAGTAAAACTCCCTCCCTTTCTTCCTGTCCTAACATAAGAAAACAAACGCTTGTAATATCTTTCTCCCTAGAAGCGTGGCCTCCGAGCCCCCACGTAACCCCGTCTTAGGAACCCCCACAGCCCACACGCCGCACGGGCCAGGTGCTGCCACCGCTCAGCAGCTCGGAATCTGGGAGAGTGTGAGGCAGGCGTCATGTTCCCTGGTTCCTGTCACTCGCAGCCCACGGTGGCTACAGAAGACTAGCAAAGGGCAATGCAGACGGGGCAGCGGGGCTGCTGGGGCGAGGGGACTCTGGAGCTGGGTCATGTGGGACTGGTTGCGGGAATGCAGGCTTCTGTGGTCTTCCCCTTCCAGCTCCAACAGTGAAGGTGAGGACACACGAGGAGCCCAGCATGAGCCCAGTGCCAGGAGGAAAAGGGGCTGGATCCCGTGCCTGTTCGTGAAGAACCCATGCGGGTCCTCGTTCGGGAGGACAAGGGACACACCTGCACATCTCACTGATCAACAGGTGTCCCACGACATGTCATACAACCATAGAAGATGGTCCTCCCGTCCAGGCTCCCCTCCTCTCCCCTGTAAGGAGGACTCAGCTTTCACAGATGCTGCTTGGGACACCCAACCACACTACACTCGGTTCCCCATCCACGGCACAGGGACGAGGAATACAAGCTGACTCTTGATCTCAAAGGTGGCTCCCAGGGCTGAGGGTTGGCCAGGAAACACTGGACAAGATGAAGCAGGTGGAAGGACCGCACGTCCTCAAGAGGAAGAGGGACCCAGAACAGCTGAGGAACCCAAGGCCTACCTTGGTTGAGGCCACCTGATGCCCTGTCCCTGCTGAATCTACGAAAAGGGTCACCTGGGCTGGGGAGAAGTCAGCTCTGGGCTGGAAGGAGTGGAAGTCCTGGGCCGGGGGTGTTAGAGGAACTTCCAGCCCCGCTCCCGGGGAGGACACTGGCCATAAGACCGCCCCACTGAACCACGTCCTGGCTCAGACCATCTCCCCCCACATCCCTATCAGGCACTATGGAGACCCAGAATCTGCAGTCAAGTCCCTTGGAGGGTATGGTGGGGGAGGTCCAGGTGTCTGAGGAATACCACACCCGGCTGTCCTTTCCCTGGGACCCTGCCTGTGCCACCACCACGACACGGTGCCACCTCTGCTACAAACTGTCAAAGTGGTGTGTGACTCCAGAGACACGCAGTGTGCCTGCCTCCATCCGTTCTCCACACCCAGGGCATTTCCCCTACGAGGTCTCGACCCGCCCTCCTCCCCAGGGTCCTGGCAGGTTTCCACGGGCTCCCAGCCTCGCAGATGAGTTGTCCTTGGCCCCCACCCTCTTTCTCTACTCAAGCCCCAACCCCACCTCCATGTGCCCCTGTCCAAGTGTCACATTTGAATCCCACGGATTTGAGGGATGGCAGGGATGCGGACACACCTGCCCAACCCACAGACTTACCTCCTTCTGAGGCCATCCCCGCAGGCTTGGGCAGCGACCACTGTATCCTACAGCCACCACAATGAGAAACGTCGAGTCCAGGTCCCAGACAGCGACCTGCTCCAGCAGATGCTCAAGATCCAATTAAGGAGGGAAAAGTTTGAATGTAAACAGGGACAGAATGTAGGGCTCCTGACATTCTGCAGCGGGGGAGGGGCCGAGGGCCAGGGCCCTGGGTGGGGGTGGGGAGACATTCCCCGAGGGCTCTGGCAGGTAGGCAAGGACCACAAGTCCCTCTCAAATGACACAGGGGCAACACAATTGCTGTGTGCCTTTGGAGGCAATTTATACAAGTTGTCCAGATTCCGAGCACCGAGGCGTTACTCGGTGGTCCTTTGCTTCCGTTTTCATCCATCGGCCGAGTTTGTGTCCCTCAACCCACTCTGCTTCCCACCTGGCTCTTGACTCACTTCAACCGAGGCCGGACTTTCTGAACAAGATTCAGAACATGTATTCTGATGAACACATGGGTCCTGAAGGCCACATGGAACTGAGGTTCCAAATTAGCATGGTCTCAGCAGATCCTGCGTGCTTGCTTGCACACGGGTCCTTCTGTCCTCGCCGCCCTCCGCTGCTGGAAGCTGCTCAGACTCAAGCAGGACGAGCCTTACTAATGCTCTCCTCTGCTGGAAAGCCCCAGCCTATCAGACAGTGGTCGTGCAGCCTACACATGCAGGACCAGAAATCACTACTTTTTGTGTCCCAGCATCCTGTGCTGTCATTCAACATTGACTGTTAACATTTTTCCTTCTTTTAGTGGAATATCTCAAAGAATCAATAGCTTTGTGTGGTTCAATGTCAAAGGACATAAAGGAATATGCAGTGATGACTCTTCCTCCCACCTCTTACTCCTGGGTACCAAGCCCCTTTCTCACAGGAAACCAGTGTTATCTGTGACGTTCAAATCTTCACAGAGACGGATTATGCAACTAAAAGTACATGTGAGCTATTTTCATTTTCAAAAATTGCTTGTATTTTTTTCTGTGGCTAAATTTGACACATATTCCAAAATAGGTGTGAGTGTGCCCAGTGATTGACTTTATGCTGATACTGTGGCTCCTGTCCTTATTTCTGGAGACTGGATTCTGGGAACATGGAGTTCTACAGTCCTTTACATTTCAAGGACCCTGTAGAATAGGGTGGCTGGATTTAGCATATGAAATAATGGATGCTCAACTGAGTTAGAATTTCAGATAATAGGGATCAGCTTTTAGAATAATTGTGTCCCATGCAATATTTTGGATATAACTTTTACTGGAAGTTTGTTCCCAGTTGATTTGAATTTTGCATTTAGCTGGGGTTCTGTACTTTATATGACATCTCCACCCAAACAGTGTAATATATTCAGCCAATATTAGTCACCTTGTGAGAAAGAGAACTTGGATTAGGAGACTCAAGGGTGCTACTTTGAAAAAAAAAAAAGAGTGCTATCTTGGCTCACCCACAAAATCATTTGCCTGCGCACGCACGTGCACACACACACACACACACACATACACACACGGTGTCTAGAGGCTCTTTGGGTGATATGGAATTTGGAGGCGCCAAATATACAGAATTGAGTATCTGAAATTAATGGGACTAAGGACAGAAGTAAGGGATAGGAAACCTTCCCCTCCCTAACATCCTACAGTCCTGGTTTTCCTAGGGGTTAAAATCAATCCCCATGAAATGGATGTGCACCTGCCATCTATCCACTGACGTCCAACCCCCATTCACACAACCAGCTTCCTCTAAGTTCTCATTGGCCAATGCTAGCCTGGAAGCCCTGCTCACGGGCTTGTGTATTTCCTGTCTGCATGAGAGACCCTTGTTCTTTGGAATCCATGCTCATCAGGGCATGTGGCCCCATCTGCACGAGCATCATGGGAGCACCTCTTTAAAGTCTTGATTCTTCTTTTCATATTGCACATCAACATCAGTTTACTGGGAAGGTTCAAAATGATATGAAAGAGCATCGGGGTTTTGTGTCATCAGAAGAGAGGACTGTTAGGAAATTGGCCAAGGGTGACGAGGGTTAAGAACCTCAGTGGTTGCCACCAATCTCTTGGGAGACCTGCTTCACCCCTGCTATCATAGCAGTACAGCTCCTAGGATGGCAGGGTGTTGGGGAAGGAAAGGGAAGTTTAGAAGGATGGCTCCACACTGACCATACACTGAAAAAGACTCCTGGTTAAGGCACCGAAACAATTCCTTGCCCCCTTGAGGAAAAGTTGACTCCAAAGGCCACCACTTTGTGGAAACTGAACAGTGGACACCCTGATGCGGAAAGGCACTGGACTTTGAGTTCGGGACCTGGAGTTCCTCCCCCCCCCCCCGCTCCGTACTATAGTCATGTAAGAGAGTCATTTCCCAATTCCTCTGCAATGTCCACACGGTTTCTAAGTTTTCTCCCAACTCCCACCCTGACAGGGCCCAGGGATTCTTTATATTAGCACTTCTGGAGTGTAGGGCCAGCCACCCAAAGCAGGTGAGCTCCACGGTGCAGCCCTTCAGGACATTCCCCAGGCCTCTCCCACTCTGCAGTGTGGAAGGGACTCTCCACAGGCACCCATCTTTGTGTTCTCTCTGGCAGCTGCTCTGAGCACACTTCCTGGACGGGAGCTGGGGAGATGAGCTGAGAGCCACTCAAGCACATCATGGTGAACTTTATTGCAAACATCCCTGCTGGGCATTGAAAAATGAACAACTTGGAGACATTGCTCGAGGCCTGAGCTTTTATCCGGGGAAGGCTGAAATGGGTTTCAAGCAACAGCTTTGTTTTAGAGAGTTTTGAGGCAAAATGTACTCAGGCACTCGTGAAAGCAGGC